CCCCAAAACCCCAAAACCCCAAAACCCCAAAACCCCAAAACCCCAAAACCCCAAAACCCCATTACGAAAATTCAGAATTGAAAAGAATTGTTAATTAAAATTTAATCTTTAATCTCCCTTCTTCTATAAATTTTACTGAAACTCAGTATCATCAACTTGGACAGCTTCTATTTCAGAAATCGAATATAAGGGACTCTTATAATCAATTTTAAGCTCTTTGATAATTTCAACGACTTGTAAAAGCCATTACAGAGATAAATTAGCCCTGATCTAGAGGAAAACTGACCAGATCTGATTGCCTCATTTAACCATTGATAAATCAACCCAATGTCGCCTGTGAATTTCCAATAACGTAATATTAAAAGGCTAGAGAAACAACTTGGGAGCTTTACCTCTACTTTAAGCAGCCTGAAAGCTTAACTCTGCTCATAACATTTTCCAAGGCCACAGTGCTTCTGAGTTGGAAGTTATAAGCCTTCAAACTTTCTCCAAAATTGCTATTCTGACAAAAATAGATAAGATTGGGCCCTTTTGGGCTTTCATAAAAGAAGTGTGCTCTCTCTGTCAGTCCGCATTAGGCTCTTCCTTTCTCAAAACAAAATCGACTCCTTAGAGATGTAAGAGCAAGATTAGGGTATTCTGGCTCCTACTTTAGCTTTAGAAATAGGATAAATATTGCCAGATTATAACAACAAGGGCAAATTAGCTTGAATAAAGAAGTCTCAAGTGAAGCTAATCGTCTCACAAATAGTAATTTCTGATCCAAAACTCTTGGAATGGTTGGACACCAGAGACCTCCTGTTCCTACTCAATCAAAATATAAGGGAATATTGAGAAATGCTAGTGTGTTTAGCTCTATTCACTCATCTTCCACTTAGTGAGGCGTTGCTTTTGTTCTGGGGTAAATTTATCAGATTTAATTTCACATAGTTTACATAGAAAATAAACTGATTTCTGGTCATCTCAAGCAGCTTAAATACACTTCTAGATCTTTATAACAATAATAGCAAAGAAATTATTGACATGGAGATCATTAATAAAATGAGAGAACAAGCTTGACATTTAGTCTTGCTAATCCTTCTTTCAAGACCTTCACTCTCGAACTCAACTCTTTAAGAGAAGGAACAGGTTATTATATTTGAAACTTCAGAGCTTGAAGCTAAGCATTTTTACAGCTTCCTACTGTATGATAAACATTTTTATGAAGACTTAGCTTTCCTTAAAACTCGGTCTTTGAATAATTGATGTAAAAAATAAGGCCTTTCACCCGCTTTTGAATTTTCAATACGAGGCTTCCAATTCGGGGTTTTGGGGTTTTGGGGTTTTGGGGTTTTGGGG